TACTCTGGAAGGCCCAGGCAGGAGGATCCCTATCCCTTGAGATCAGGAATTTAATACCAGCTTGAGCAAGAGTGAGACCCCATCACTACTAAAAATGAAAAAATCAGCTGGGCATCATGGCACACACCTGTAGTCTTAGCTACTTGGGAGGCTGAGGCAGGAGGATCACTTGAGCCCAGGAGTTTGAGGTTGCAATGAGCTATGATAATGCCACTGCACTGTAGCCAGGGTGCAGAGCCTTACAGAGGAAGGCTCTGTCTCAAAAAAAAAAAAAAAAAAAACCAAAAAAAAAACAACAACAAAACAAAACCCAAAAACCCAAGTTTTCTGGTAGTGACAAATACCCTCAGGACCCCTGTATCACTAAGACTGTTTTTGCCCTATTATTACTTCTCTGGGTGCAGGATTCTCCTAGAATTGGGCCTAAGAGTTTTCTACTATCTTGTCAGCTTTTCAGCATTTTTAAGGTGATTTTGAGAATATTTTATCAAGCATTTTTATTTTTATTTTTTTTACAGTTGTGTTACCAAACCCAAAAGGGGTCTGGCCTAGGTCCGTTTGCTCACCACACAGAAAGCCAATTACTGAGATAAGGAGGATTGCCAAGGAAGAAAGGAATTTTTAATACAAATGACATCAGCCAGGAGAACTAAGGGCAAGGGCTTTTATAGTGGGTTGTGGAATGCAGGTCAGGTTGCAGAGTTTGAATTAATGGGGTCTGCAGGTGGTCTGATTCAAGAGTCAGCTGTTGTTGATGGACTTGTTAGGAAGTCCTGGGGAGAAGTTAGTTAAGTCTGCTCTTAGGCTTGAGTGGTCTGAGGTATTGGGAGAGAACAAAAAATAACTTAGGGAGGGGGTTAATTTGCAAGGCCAATTATATAGTAAGGTTTGTTCACATAATCTAGTCTGCCATTACTGGAGACAGAACTCATCCTCATTTGAAAGATTGTGTTGCTGGGCATAGAATTTGAGATTGACATTATTTTTTATAATCCCTTTGAAAGTGGTATTTCACTGTCTTTAGCTTCCAGTGTTGCTCTTGAGAAGACAACTTTTGGTCTGTCTGCTGTTCTTTTTTGGGTGATCTCTCTTTTCTCTCTGGCTGCATTTAGGTCTTTTCTTTATCTTTGGCCTTATGCAGTTTCTCTATAATGTATGTACTGTGCTGATTTTTTAAAAGCATCCTTGTGATTTGTTATACTTCATGAATCTGTGGATTCATGTCTTTCATATCAACTGAAAAAAATCTCAGCCATAATTCTTCTGGGTATTGCTTCTTCCTTTTTACCTTGGTATCTCTTTATAGAATTCTGATTAGAGCACTTCTGTCTTCTCACTCTGTCCTCCATGTCTCTGAAACTATGTTTCATGTTGTCTATCCTTGTGTCTCTCTGTGCTCCTTTTTTTTTTTTTTCTTGCCCCAGAGTCTTGCTCTGTTGCCTGTGCTGGAGTGGAGTGGCATCATCATAGCTCACTGCAATGTCAAACTCCTGGGCTCCAATGATTCTTCCATCTCAGCCTCCTGAGTAGCTGAGACTACAGACATGTGCCACCACTCTTGGCCAATTTTTCTGTTTTTTGTAGAGATGGGATCTTGCTCTTGCTCAGGCTGGTCTCAGTCTGTGCTCCATTCTTGGTAATCTCTTCAGATTTATTTTTAGTTTCCTAATTCTCTCTTCAGCATGTTAAGATCTAATCTTTAAATTCAAGTATATATTTTTTGTTTCTAAAGTTCTATTTTGTTGTTTTTTTAATCCTACTAGCTATTTCGATAGAACTTTATTCCTTTCTCATTTGTTTGATGTCCTTTTATTTCTTTAAACATATTAAACATAATTATTTTATATGCTTTATTTCATAATTCTACTATCTTACCATTTTGAGAGTTGGGTCTTGCTTAGGGTGCCTTGTTTTCATGTGTGTTTTGTGGTTTGATTATATGCTTTACTTTGGAGCTTCATCAGTAGGTATTCTTTGAGGCTTGGGTTGAGAATATTAATGTATTACTTTAGAGAGGATTTTTTTCTGTCAGGAGTCTAGGGGACATTACTAATCCAGGTCCTCTTAAAATCAAATGTTTAATTTAAGATTGTCAGAACATAAAAGTAGTATATACAGTACTTGTACCCTGAAATCATGTTTGCCCAGGGTTTTGGCTGCGAACTCTTGGGCACATTCTTTTTATCCTTTCTGTCCAGAGATAATGCCAGTGCTGAAATAGTTTCCTTGCTCTCCATATTCTGCATCAGGTTTTCCTCTATTTCTCCTTTGCCTGTGGGGATAGCCTTCAGAGACATGGCTTATTAGATACCTCTCCCAGATGGAACCAAAGTTTTTTCTGCCTTCATCTGCATGGTTGTATTACCAGGTGTTGAGTTCTCTCATAAATATATGGTGGGGGTGGGAGGAAGAGAGAAACACCAGGCTTCTGAATCAGAAATCAAACCTTCATTATTCACAGCTTCACAGCGGTAATAGTGGCTGCTCCCGCCATGCAGGGTTGGGGAACCTGCGGCCTTCTGATTTCAAGATTGTTCTTTTGTAAGCACCAAAGGAGGCAAGAAAACGTCACCTTTCTCTGCCGCACTCCTTTTAATAAAAGGATTTGTTCTGTAAAATTTGGCTTCAGTCGAAAGGTTGCACTCAAGGATCCAGAAGACCCCATGTGGCCCTAAGGCTATAGGTTCCCCCACCCCTGCATGGGTTCCTTACATCCCATCTCCCATGTAGTAAAACAGTGAGAGCAGATATCACATGCATTTATGGAGGGGGAAAGTATCTGTACCATAGGAGAGGGACTCCAATTTATTATGAATCTCAGAGCTTATATAGGAACTGGCACATGTACCTCTTTTTCCCTATGTGGGGAGAGAGAAAAAGATTGAAGGGGGAGAGAAGGGAGAGAGGGAAAGGGAGGATTAGAGAAAGCATGCTTTTCTTTTGGAATAAGCAAATCCACTCTTGGGAAAGGAGGGGAAGTTCTCTACCTTGGAATGTTGTAAGCATTTGGCTCTGGGCAAGACACATAGATTATGTCACCCTGTGGGAACAGATGGCTTGGGTGAGTGGGTGGGGCATGAGAGGTAGCAGAGTTAGGAGGGGAGATAAGTGGCTCCAGGTCTACCATCCTTAGAATGTGAAGAGAAAATGACTCTGGGGCAAAAAGACATTCTTTATAACTTGTCAGTTTCATTGCTCAGAGCAACAGGGAGAAATCCAGAGAGGTTTGCCTTACAGCACCAGTCTATGGGCGCCCACAGGACAGTAAGAGTCTTGGTTCTTACTCACAGTCCCTGGATTCTGGCTCCCACTTTGTGTATGATCCCTGGGTATTTCTTTTACTTTTTTGCAATCTCAGGCATTCATTCAAAAGGAAGCTTTAAATATTCTGCCGTCACCTTTAGGTGTTTTGCAGTAGAAGGGTTACTGAATACTTAGTTCATTATATTGATGAAAATGGAAGGCTCCTTCATGTTTTGTGTTGAGATATAGTGCAAAAGGTGTAAGACTTGCAATGAGGGGACCTGGGCTTTAATTCAAGTTTCTTTAAAGCTATGCAGCCTTAGTTTTGAGCAAGTCATTAATCTCTCCTATTCCTAGTTTTCTCTTCTGTAAAAGTGGAACACTAATAATACCTGTCCCCAAAGATTTATGAGAATCTAATCACATATTTTGAGCACCTACTACAGGCCCTTGCACACAGTAAGTGCTCAGTGGAAGCTGTTCAGAAGTATGATTGGTATTGCTTGAGCACTCTTTATATTTAATATTTAGAATTGAACAAGGTACTTTGTCAGCGGCAATAATTCCTCAAACCTTGATGCTTTCCAGGACCTGTCCTTGCTGAGCTCTGATGGTAAAACGATGAATGCAACGCTGAAATGAACTCAATGTTGGGTGGGAAAGGAAAAGGGGAAAACTTGTGATGGAGCATGACACAGTGTGAGCCATGTTCCAGGAATGACAGGTATCCTGATGGATGTGGGCTAGAGTGGGGGAAGTCAGCAGAGAACTCTTCAGCAAACTCTGAATAGGAGCCAGAACGACCAGGAAAGAGGGTACTTCAGAAAGAGAGGACTGAACAATAAAGGTTGCAAAATAGGCAGGCAGTGAGAAGCTATTGAGATGTAGCCATGGGGGTCTGACAGACTTGCTCCACAGCCCCAGCCTCCGTTCCTCAGCAGGTGCTCTCCTGTCCCCAGGGGCTGTGGCGTCACTGCTTTGAGGCTTGTTCAAAACATTTCTCAGAGGCCTTTAAGGAGACAGGAGTCCATTCTGCAAGGACCTTTTTCTCTAAGAACAGCCACTTCCACCACCCACCACATTTGCTTTGAAGTGTATTCTGGTCTTAGGGCCCAATCCTGTGAATGAGAGACAAGGATCTGCTATCCTTTTCACAATACAAATTAATTATTTTTACTAATTTTTAAAAGTAATACATATTCACTGTTATAAAAAAAGCACAAAACTGTATTAAAAAAATAACCTACGAACCGCAACCCAGAAGGACTGTTATTAACATCTTAGTGACAGCATTCTGCTTATTTCTTCTATGAACACTTTTGTACTCCTTTTATCATACCATAATATGATTTTGGATTCTGCATGTCTCTGTTATTGAAAATTATTTGCCAACTTTTTACTGGCTGCCTAATATTCCATTGTACAGATAGATCATTCTCTAATTGTTGGATATGCAGGTTGATACTGATTCAATATTTATGAACATTTTTAAGGTTCTTGGTTCTTATTATCACCTTGGTTTTCAGAAAAACACACCAATTCACACATCCTCAGCAGCAGGTGAAAGTATAGATCTGGACTCCCAATTTGTCTCCCTTTCTATTATACTAGTTTATAAAAGAAGTTTTCCTGGAACACCAAGCTGATTGCAGTGATAAGAGACCACTTGTGTAGCTATTGGTGTAATTGAAAAATGACCCAAATGCCTTGTTACTTTAATTTTTCAAAATGTTGCCTACATTTCCCTTCTTCTTCAGGGAGAGACCAACAGGATTATAGCCTCCCACACAATGAACAAAAACTCTTCCAGATCACACTGCATTTTTACCATCTATGTAGAGGTAGGTACAAGGCTCTTTGATCAGCCTGAGAGTGGCAGTCAATTCCCATGGGGCCTGCTCAATTAGCAACTTCCCTCTGTGACAGTCTAACTTCAATTTGGATGTTTTGTAGGCCCATTCTCGGACCTTATCAGATGAAAAGTACATCACTTCCAAAATTAACTTGGTGGATCTAGCAGGCTCAGAGAGGCTGGGCAAGTCTGGGGTAAGTGACGAGGGCAGGAGGTTGCTTAACAAACCAGGGGCCCTGCTTCTGACATAGTGCCTATGCATGTGGGCTGCCCCTCTTCAGGTATCTGTGAGAACAGTCCTGAGCTAGGTTATGTGAAACGTGGCCTTGCTAGAGGGACAGAATTGGCAGAGGCGGAACAACTGCTACCTAGGGGCAGTTCCTACCTCTCAGGAATTTTGTAAACGTTAAATGTGAGATAATACCCCTAAAGGCTTAGCAAGGTGCCTGATACCCAGTAAGTGCTCATTAAATACTTCATACTATTAAAAGTATGGCATTTCTCTGTGTATGAATATGAGTATTCACATGAGTGATTGCATGAGTATTTTATTTCAAATAAATACTTGTATGAGTGTATTAGCACAAGCATTTACAAGAGTGTTCAAATGAGCATTCATATGTACATTCATGTGAATGTTTGTATGAACAGTCATAGGATTATTTGCTCAAGTATCTGTACAAGAATTCCTAAGTGTGAATTTTTGAGTGAGTATTCATATAAATATTCACATAAGTATTTAAATTCACATGAGCATTCACGTGAATATTTGCATGAGTATTCTTATGAATTTTGGTATTATCATTATTAGCCCAAGATAGAATACCATCCCATGACATTAAGGGAAGAACCTAGTTCTGGGAAGGAGGCTCTGGCCTGACCACAGACTTATAGTATCACCCCAAAGCAGGAGGGCAGCCATTCTTAGTGGGGCAGCTTCTCTACTCTGTCCAAAATAGAACTGACCTTTGGTTTGTAGTCTGAGGGCCGAGTCCTGAAGGAAGCCACTTACATCAACAAGTCGCTGTCATTCCTGGAGCAGGCCATCATTGCCCTCGGGGACCAGAAGCGGGACCACATCCCCTTCCGGCAGTGCAAGCTCACTCACGCCCTGAAGGACTCCTTAGGTGAGGGGATGTGGTTGGTGCCCAGGGAGAAGGGTCTGTGTCCCTGGGGAAGAACAGGTCTGGCACAGCTGCCACTGATGATAATGGAATCACTCCCTCCTGGTGGCATGGATTTACTTACAGCCCTTTCACAGTGATTTCACACACATCTTGAAAAGACAGAATCACACACAGTGCCCTTTTCTTGCACCCAGAACATACCATGCTATTCATTTCTCAGAACCTTTATTTAAGCTTTTACCTCTAGCGGGAATACCTTCTCTTTTCCCATCATCCCTAAACCAACTGGCAGAATCCTTCATAGCCTTAAAGTTCCAGGAAGAGGGCCTCTCCCTTGACATCTTCCCTTCCACTGCAGCCTCCTGGGCAGAGCAGCTGGGGCTGTGTCTTATAATCCCCATGAACCTAGACCTTTGTGTTGGGCTTGACAAAATAGTCACTGGTGTCTGATTGTTAACTGAGTGTCACCATGAACAAAGCCCTGGCTCATACTCCTCTCTCCCAACCCTGCCCCTCCCTGCCCCACACCATGTCTCCTCTTTTGTTTTCTCCTTTTTTTTTTTTTTTTATTTCAGCATATTATGGGGGTACAGATGTTTAGGTTACGTATATTGCCCTTGCCTCCTCCCTCCCCCCCAAGTCCGAGTTTCTCCTTTTGTTTTGTCAGGAGAAAACAGCTCTTTTAGGTGTATCTGATAGCTTCTCTCCCTTCCCTCTCTCTTTCCCTTGCCTCTCAGACATGTTTGGGTGTGTTTTCTCTGACCTTATCTTAATCAGTTCAGGATGCTATGACATAATACCACAGACTAAGTGGCTTAAACAACAGATCTTTATTTCCCACAGTTCTGGGGACTGAAAAGTCCAAGATCAAGGTTCCAGCAGATTCAGTTCCTGGTGAGGTCCCTCTTCCTGGCTTGTAGATGGCCACCTTCTCTCTTTATCCTCACATGGAAAGAAAGAAAGGTCTCTTTTTCTTTTCTTATAAGGACCCTAATGCCATCATGGGGGCCCCACCCTCATGACCTCTTCTAAACCTTATTACCTCCCAAAGGCCCCACTTCCAAATATCATCACTTTTGGATTTAGGGCTTCAACATAAGAATTTTGTGAGGACACAAACATTCAGTCCGTAACAGACTCCTGCTAGCCCCAAGGCAGTCTCTTGGCAGAAAAACCACATGGTTCATGGCCCTCCTGTTTCTCGCTTTCTGCAGGGGGAAACTGTAATATGGTTCTCGTGACAAACATCTATGGAGAAGCCACCCAGTTAGAAGAAACAGTACGTATAGACAGCCAGTGTGACCAGGTTGGACTCTTTCCTCAGGGGAGCCAGGACTGGGTATGGTTGGCTCCTGGGTGATCTGGCACAGTAGCCACAGGCATTATGAAGAGTAGAAAGATCTCAGGGATGAGTCTGACACAAAATTGAGTGGGGCCCAGAGCCAGAATCCAAACACCAGGCACTAAGCATTTCCTCTGAAGAAGAGGGCAGGGCAGGAGGCAGGCTCAGCATGAAGGACCATGCAAGGAGGGGAGGCTTAGAGCCAGCTTTGTGGGGGAAAAGACCATGTTTCCTGGGGTACTACTCTTGTGAATGGGGGATCAAGGACAGTCGCTTACTTGTTCTTCATAATCACACAGGTTTAAACATCCTGAAAACATCACAGGGTTCCAGGCTGTGGTTATAAGCCCTGTATGAGCAGATAGGTATTAAGCATCTGCCGTGTGCAAGGTGGTGAGAGGGGAGTAACTCAGTAGAGATGAGTCATACATGGCTTGGACCTCAGAAATCCCAACCCAAGAGGAAAGAGAAGCTGTGGCCCTAAGTAATGGTAGAGGCCCAGATGGAAGAGACCTTCAGAGGAAGGCGGGAGGGAGATGAGGGGGGATTTTTCCTAAGATTGGGGTGGGGGAAAGTGGGCACTGAGCTGGCTGGGGTTAAAGGATTGGTGGTAGGATGAGCAGAGGTGTTCCTGGCAGAGTTAACAGGACTGAAAGTGTGACCCATGCTAGGAACATCTGGCTACTGCAGGGGAGGGAGAAGCATGTCTCAGTAGAAGAAAAGAAAGTAGAAGAAAAGAAATAGCAGGGTCTGGATGGGCCCTGGTGGGCAGGCTGAGGCCTTGGCTGTTTTTCTGCAGGTGACTAGAGCCTTCACAGGGTTTCAGTAGGGGAGGACTATGGCCAGAGGTGTGACTCAGGGAGATTAACCCAATGATAAGACACAGGTGGCCTGGGAAGGGGAGAAGCTTGTGAGAATCAGAGGTAAGAATAAGGGTCCAACACAGTGACACAGGTGAGTCCACAAGCCCAGAGGAGCTGTTGGAGGGGTTTCATGCGTTTTGGACAAAGGTATATTGGGGGTATGGAAGCTACTGATTTATTCTCCATATGTTTTAAAACTTTAAAAATGTTCCTGTCATGGATTGTGTAGCTCTATGCAGTGACATTGCACGTGTGTATGTAAGTAACCACAGCGATGGAGTTGTGGCCTTACTTGCTGTGTGATTGGAGCAGAGGAGTCTGACTTGGCTCCACATAGTCAGGGTCCCTTTGCTGAGCTGCGAGTCAGCCCCACGTGGTGGGAGATGGGAATCTCAGGGCCTGCCTCCTGCCACCACTGGCTGCTCCTCACTGCCAAGGAGGAGGCCTCCACCCCTCATCTAACATCCGTGCAGTGGGGCATAGTGTCGGAGTTTCCAAAGTGCCTGCTCATGTGGCCACCTTGTGGGCCTCTAGCTATGATTACCCACCAGGTGGGCTGCCCACCAGGGACTCTGGTGAGACTCCCCAGATGTCATTCCATAGGCCCAGGAGATCCAGCAGTCCATTTTGGAGCATGCTTCTGTACAGAGATTTGTCTTTCCTAGTGGTCTCCTTTTACCTGTTTTGCAGATATCTGTACTCACAAGTTATGGGGCAAAGACATTGGAGCCAACCAGTACACACACACATTTTAGAACTTCGCTGAGTTGAATTTTCGGCTTTGCCACTGAGTAACAAAGGCTAACTAGTACATTCCAGTGCCTCCTTCCACTGAAATTCAACATTTACCATACACCTACCGTTTGCTGACCCAACGGGAGAAACTCTGATTGCCCAGACACACAAGGCCATTCTCACTTCTACCGCCACACACATTGGGCCTCCTCTTGTGGCACCCTCTCATTGTCTTGGTGCCCCTGGATGTTGACCTGGCTCTTGCCTTGCTCACACTTAGGACACACTGTCCCTCCATCAGGATATCGTTACCCCTTCCCCATCACCTGGAAAACTACTGCTCTGGCCCATCCCAGGCTCTACCCTAGTCCCCACCCAGGGCACCTAAAAAGGGTTTCCTATAGGTCCTCCTCCTCCCAGCAGTGAAGAGCACAGACTTGGGAGCCAGAGTGCATGGGTTGAATTCTTGTGCCACTACTGACCAGCTCTGTAACCTTGAGTGAGTTGCTTGACCTCTCTGTGTTTCAGTATCTTCATCTATAAAACGGGACTGAGGATGCTCCTGCCTTCTATGGAGTTGTGAGGATTAAATGAGTTAACACTCTTAGAGCACTTAGAGCAGAGCCTGAGCCACAGCAAACTCACCTTCCCATTATCTCACAGAATGAAGGGCTGAGCAAGCTGAGGCACTCCTGCTGACAGTCTGGGAAGTTCTGCCCAACTGCCCGATGCAGGGTTGGATGTGATAGCCATAAGCCTTGCTGAAGGGAGGCTGAGAGAGCAGGGGCCCAGTACCCCATCCTATCCTGACATGGCCTCGTGGCTCAGCAGCAGTGAGGTCCCTGAGGGACAAGGCTGGTAGGGGCCCATCTCTGTGGTGACAGTGAGGCCTTTTAGCTCAAATGCTGTGGAGACCCCTTGGGGATGGTGGGAGGACACTTTTGGCTGAGGCTGGTGGGCTGAGTCCTGGCTTCATCACTCCAGAACAGTCATGCCCATGTGTCTCAGCATGTGTGGCTGGAGATCCCTGCTCCCCTGTATGCCGCAGAACTACCCATTCCCACTCAGACTGCTGGTCCATCTACAGTCGGCCTGAGCACCTGCCTTGCCAGCAATGGCTCAGGGCAGCCACTGGCCACATGTAGCCATTGAGCATTCAAATGTGGCTGGTCCAAATTGAGATATGGTGAAAGTGTAAAAATGCACACCAGATTTCAAAGACCTACAAAAAAATGTAAAATATCTCAATCATTTTAAAATATAAATTATATGTTGAAATCACAATATTTTAGACATATTAAAGTTTAAATACAATATATTAAAATTGTTTTCATCTGCTGCTTTTCACCTATTCTCATATGGCTACTAGAAAATTTAAAATTACATACATGGCTTGCATTTGTGGTTTTTATATTTCTGCTGGACATCACTGATCTGGACTCTGAGAAGCATGTGAAGGGGGGGCAGGGGCCACCCTCCCTAAAGCAACACACTGTGGGTTGTGGAAGGGCCAGAGACCCTTCATGTGGAGGAGGACCAGGAGGGCTTCAGGGAGGAAGCTGGTTTTCAGCTGGGCCTGGGAGAGAGAGTGGAACATGGGGAGGTAGACAGCATAGGAGGAGAAGAAAGGGCACTCTAGGCAGGGTTGCTTGAGGAAAAAAAGGCCTACAAGAATACGGTCAGGTTTAGATAAAGAAACAGACCAATGTGTAACCTCATTGTGTACACAATGAGGACCAGGCTGCAGTATGTGCCCTCTAGCAACTTCTTCCTGTTCCACTCCCACCCGAATTGGGGACTTCACTGCCGAGAGTTCTTTTGACCAATGTCCCCTCAGGGAAGTGAACCAACATGGTGGGTTGGACAAGGCAGCCTGAAGAGCCTGGAGAAGGCAGGCAGGGTCTCACTTTAGTGGGGAGCCATCTGATGTCTATCTGGTCTGTTTTTCAGCTGTCTTCTCTGCGATTTGCGAGCAGGATGAAGCTGGTCACCACAGAGCCTGCCATCAATGAAAAGTATGATGCTGAGGTACTAAGGGGCTCATGGACAGGCGCCCCCCTGTGGGGAAGGTATATGGGTTTGCTACCTGGGTCACACAACCCTGGCTTCCCTTCTTTCCTCAACCAAAGATAACCATGCAGCCCTGGATCAGTCCCTTTCTACTCTGGGATAGGCCAGAGTCTTCAGAGTTCCTGGAGAACCTTAGAGGCTGACACAGATATCAGGCTACCACTCAGTTCACATGTGAGGGAACTCTGGATACCCTGGGCTTCTACGTGAGATAGGGACTATCTCTCAGCGTTGCCTATGTCACTACAAAATCTCTTTCCTCCCAGCCTGAGTGATCCCTCCAAACAGAGCTGACCGATCAGAAGGATTGCACAGCATCACCATTAACCAGGGAAATGCAAATTAAAACCTCAGTGGAACTCCACTCTCAAACCAGCAAAAATGAATTTTCTGACAACACAAAAGGATGACGAGAATGTGGAGAAACAGGAACTCATCCATTTCTGGTTGGAGTGTAATTGATACAACCACTTTGGCAAGCATTTTGACAAAATCTAGTATAGTAAAAACACATCGGCCGGGCGCGGTGGCTCACGCCTGTAATCCTAGCACTCTGGGAGGCCGAGGCGGGCGGATCATTCTGAGCTCAGGAGTTCGAGACCAGCCTGAGCAAGAGCGAGACCCCGTCTCTACCAAAAAATGGAAAGAAATTAATTGGACAGCTAAAAATATATGTAGAAAAAATTAGCCGGGCATGGTGGCGTGTGCCTGTAGTCCCAGCTACCCAGGAGGCTGAAACAGTAGGATTGCTTGAGCCCAGGAGTTTGAGGTTGCTGTGAGCTAGGCTGACGCCACAGCACTCGCCCCAGGCAAGAGAGTGAGACTCTGTCTCAAAAAAAAAACAACAAAACACATTTATCGTTAATTTGACTTTCCTTTAAGATGATTATGGAATTGTAGTTACTGGAGACAGGAGCATTTGAACGCGCTAAGCTCATGACAAGTCAGTTAAACTTTTCAGATTCTAAATCCTGAAGGAAAATTACAGTCCCTGTGGCTCTGTGGAACTAACCCATAGTTAGTTGGAGGTTGAAGGTTGGACAGGGAGTGGAGCATAGAGCACTGGTTCCCAAACTTGAGCAGGTGTCAGAATCACCTGGCCGATTTGTTGAACCATGGGTCACTGGATCCATTCCCAGAGTTCCTCATTCTCTCCATCTGGGGTGGAGCCTGAGGATTTGCATTCCTAATAAGTTTCCAGGTGATGCTGCTGCTCCTGCTGCTCTCGGGAGCACCACACTTTGAGAAACACTGGCAAACTGAGTTGGGCTGTCCTGGGTTCAGCAACCTGCTCTTCCCTTCATTAGCTGGGTAGCCTCAATGAAATGCCCTTTCGAAGACTCATTTTCTTCATTTGTAAATTGGGTAAATAACAGAATCTACTCTCAAAGAGGTCTAGTGAAGAGTAAGATAATGTGTAGAAACCTCTTAGCACAGTGCTGTCATGGGGTAAATGCTCAATAAATGTTAGCTAGCACTCTCCTGACTTCCGCAGAGCAACAGTCACTTCTAGGTATAGTCTAGAGACATTCTCACATGTGTATGTAAAAAGACTTACAGAAGAATGGTGCTCACAGTGCTTGTTGTGATAGTGAAAACTTAGAAACACAATCAATATCCTTCAACAGGAGAGTAGCTAAATGAGGGATCCAGAGCTAGAGCTACCAGGACGGATAAATCTCAAGTGAGAAAACAACTTGAGGATTGAAGTGGACCAAATGATAGCATCTATCATTTACACCAAGTATAAAAACATGCAGAGTGATGCTGATTATCATTAATGGGTGTATATATGTACAGTAAAAAAAATATGCAGGAGTGAGAAGACCAAACTGAAGCCGGAGGTTCCCTCTGGTATGGCAGACTCCTGACCACATTACTTGAGTCTGCTGTTTCCAGGGCATTTTTTCCATCCCCAGAATGCCCCTGGTTTTTATAAAGGAGTTGGTCAGCCAGGAGATGCTGCCAGACCCTGTTCTGTGGGGTCTGTTGCCCCAGCCCTGTGTTTCCAGGCAGCTGCTCTCCAGTCAGTACAAGAGGGAGAGTGGGAAGCCACTAAGCCTGCCAGGCATTAGGAAAAATTGCTCTCATTCTCTTAAGGTGTGACTTGGAGGCTGGTGTCCTGTGGGAGAAAATGGTCCATTTCCTCACATCACCTTCTGATTGGCCCAGACATCTGAACCTAGCTCCTCTTTGCCACACTGAAGAGAGTCATTAAGCTGGAGGTCCCCAGTAGCTCAGCCAGACTTTCTCTAGCTGGGCCATGATGCATTTTCTGCTGGGTGAAGAAGGGGATACGGACAGGTGGGACTGGGCACCAAGCCTCTCCCCTTGGTCCCACAGGAAGGCTATACCTGAAGGAGATCTTGGGGATTTCCAGAGGAGCAGAGCCAGGTTTTGGACCCTGGTCATGCACCTTGAGTCCCAAGCTTTGTGCCTTAATTGCCACAGAGCCACCTGGATGCCGGGGGTGTGTCACCCCTTGCTATGTGAGAGCCTAGGGGCAGGAGGGCCTCAGTGCCTGGGTGACCTGGTTGGATGAGTGCTAGAGTACAGCAGGCCTTTGGTCTGGGAGAGGGCCAGTGGGGCAGTGGACTGGTCTCAGCTTTGGTCACCAGTCCTGGGATCCAGGTATTAGGGGCTCCCTCCAGTGGCCCTTTAATGACAACTAAAGGAAGCCCTGTTCACAGGGAGGGTTCTCAGCATGAAATCCCTTGTGCCTTTTTCATGGAAGACACTCAGACGGTATCTATCAAATATAAAATTACTTAGCAATTCTTCTTCTCAAAATATATCATTTACCCACTCACCTGAAATCCATGGAGTGCTTACTATGTGCCAGGCACTTTTTGAAGTACTTGGTATACATGAGTGTGCAAACAGAAACACAAATCTCTGAGCTTACAGTCTCTTGAGGGTAGGGGAAATGGACATAAATAATCACAATAAATAGGTAAGTTCTAAAGCTTCACTGTCCAATACAGTAACTGCTATTCACATGTGGCTGTTTAAATTAGTTAAAATTAAAATTCACTTTCTCAGTCACACTAGCCACAATTCAAGTGTCCTATGTGGCTTGTGGCTACCATATTGGACAGCACAGACATAGAACATTTCCATCATCGCAGAAAGTTGTTTTAGGCAGCACTGGTCTAGGGTATGTTAGAAGGTAATACATGCTATGAAAAAAAATTAGAGATTTTTAGAGTGGTGCAGGCGTGGAGAAGGGATTGCAATTTTAAATAGGGTGATTGTAGTGCACCTAACAGAAGATTTTGAACAAAGATTTTAAGGAGGTGAGGGAGAGTCATGGAAATATCTGGGAAAAGAACATCCCAGGGCAGAGGGAACAGGCAATACAGAGGTGGGAGTGTACTAATTTGGTAGGAGTAGAATGAGCCAGGGAAGAGCAGTAGAAATGAGAGAATGGACATAGATCTCTAGAGCCTCATAGATCACTGTGTTATCCTATGGAAATCTATAAGGACACTAATATATGAGTATAAAGATGTTCTTGCTGCATTGTTTGTAGCAGCAAAAAATTAGAGGTGACATGCATGGTTATCATTGGGGAATGGTGCCATGTTCATGCCATGGTTGGGGAGGATGAGAGTTATGGCCATGCATAGAAAGCATCCTGGAGTCTGTAGGCTGCACCAAACAGATCATTGTCCTGGTAGACTGGAAAGAGCCTGGAGCCCCTGGGTCTGGGGTTTGAGGTAGCCCTGTGGCCTATGCTCACTCTGTTCTCAATCTCCTCTGCTAGAAGATGCAAAGGCCAATGGACTGCTCAAGCCCTCTCCAACCCTAACTCACCCCAGTTGGGGAAGGGTTACCAGTGGGAAGGGAATCACTCAGAAGCTAAGAGCATATCCTGTGGATTACCAGGAATGGCCAGAATGTCTGGGCACAGAATGAGGAATTGTGTGTTTGATGTGGAAGGGGCAGGGTAACTTCTCTGATGACCTCTCCTATTACCCCCCCCATGTTTCCATGGCAGCGAATGGTCAAGAACCTGGAGAAGGAGCTAGCACTGCTGAAGCAGGAGCTGGCCATCCATGACAGCTTGGTAAGGGGCTAGAGACAAGGGAGGAGGAGGGAGATGCTGGGGCAGACAGCATGATGGGTCAAGGTCAGGGGAGTGGGGGCAGGTAAGGGGGCAGCAGCAGGGGCCATGAGGACAGGGTGTGAGTCCTCTGGCAGCCTGCCTGGGCTGGTGTTCATGGTCCTTACTCAAGGCAGAGGCAGCACCCCTCTTCCCCTCCTCATAGTCCTCATCCTACAGAGTCTACTGAGATTCTGTCTGGAATCACAGGCCCCGTATCCAGGGGCCTTCCCTTCTCTCCCCTACTCCATTATCTCTCTCTGATCCAAGCACCTGGTCTGTGTGTCAGGCCTTCTCTGCTAGGACTGGATGATGAAGGGAACAGAGCCAGCTTGGGCAGCCAGCAGGGCTTGTGCCCAACTTTCCTGCTTTGGCTCTTAGAATGGCCCCTGCTACTCCTGCTTGGGCTCAGGTTCTCATTTCATATCCACATATTCTGCATCCTTCAAGGCCAACCGTACCCTCGTGACCTACGACCCCATGGATGAAATTCAGATTGCTGAGATCAACTCCCAGGTGCGGAGATACCTGGAGGGGACGCTGGATGAGATCGATGTAAGGAGCCCCTCTGTGGGACCACCATGCTCAGCTGGCTGAGCCTCCCTGTCCTGGGCACACCCCTATGTGTGCTGTGCTGGCCTCAGAACCTCACACTGAGTGGGTGCAGTGGATGGAAGGTGGTGCCAGACCCCTGGTGTCAGGCCCATCTCGGGAAACACATGCACAGGCCCTGGAACCAGGCTTTCTGGGACTGAATCCCAGCTCTGTTGCTTTGCTAAGTGACCTCAGCAAAATGCTCAACTTCATGTACTTCAGTGGTCTCACTTGCATGGTGGGGAGGGAAACCGAGTGGCTGTGCCCCACAGAATGAAGCTGATAAAGGATGGTGGTCATACTGGTTGTCTACAAGGCAGATCCCAGGGCCCACATGAAAGTAGGCCAAGGAGAGGGAAACAGCAGCCACACAAGGGGAATGGTGTGGCTTCCCCCCCCCTCAGGGGGAAAGATGCATTCTGTTTTTACTGGGCAGGCCATCAAATCCCTCTTCTAGGAGCTACATGGGCAGTACTGCCCCCCAACCCCGGCTGCTACTATAGGCAGCTACAAGAGGCAGGCCTGGGACAACTGAGGGGTGGGCTCTTCTGGCCTTCCCGGGAGGGGCAGTACCAAACAAATCTTTGTTCAAGGGTAATGGTGTGGGCTTCAGGGCCGGGGGAAAGCCAGTGCCCATGAAGAAAGGTTTGTAAATAGGCTCCATCTAAAGACAACAGATTGGGCCTGTAATCCTAGCACTCTGGCAGGCTGAGGTGGGAGGATCGCTTGAGCTCAGGAGTTTGAGATTAGCCTGAGCAAGAGTGAGACCCTGTCTCTGCTAAAAATAGAAAGAAATTAGAGGGACAACTAAAAATAGAAAAAATTAGCCAGGTGTGATGGTGCGCGTCTGTAGTCCCAGCTACTCATGAGGCTGAGGCAGGAGGATCTCTTGAGCCCAGGAGTTTGAGGTTGCTATAAGCTAGGCTGACACCAAGCATTCTAGCCTGGGTGACAGAGCAAGACTCTGTCTCAAAAAAAAAAAAAAGAGACAACAGATTGAACCTTTTGGAAACAGGAGAAAGCTGAGGAAATACATTTATTAAAATGATTTTTTAGAAAATATTTTCAAGGTCTAGAATCATTTTCATTTTATACAGATCTCTACTTAGAAAATGTAGTTTTTATAGCTTCATTAAATACTTAGTTTTAAAGCTATTAATCAGATGTTTTTCTACTCTTGAGGAGGGCTTGACTGCCACTTTGTTGAGAGGCTGTTTGCAGACATCCCCTTCTCAAGATGGATGACCCAGAGGTCAGCCAAGGGGTCCTGACTTCTCTGCTAACATAGACAGTCTGGTCAGTCCCTGGTACCTATGGTGTAATCTCTGCTTTGCTCTCTTTCCTGCAGATAATCAACCTAAGACAGATCCAGGAGGTGTTCAACCAGTTCCGCGTGGTTCTGAAGTGAGGGGCTTCCCCCTGCCACACACTTCTACATCAGGCTGCCATCTTCATTTCCCATGATCTGGGCACTTCCCTCCAGGAGCACCTCCTTCTCTCTCATGGGCTAGGAGCCATATCGGAGTCCTTGGGATGTGCCCAGGTCCCTGGTTGATGTTTACTTAGTTCATTAATTGGAAAGGAGGTTTTTATGGAGTGTGCCCAGAGTAAGGCACTATGAATATTCCCCACTCCCTCTACCTCAGCAGGCATTTTTGGTTTATTTAGGTGCAGACATACCCACAGCCTGAGTAGGTCATGCTGGGTGGTGTTACAGAAGCTGATCACAGGATTCTAAGGGGACTGTTAGAGACAGAACCTTGGTGGGGGAGCATGGTCCTGAGTCAGGCTTACAGTCCTTGTTAAATGTCATCTTGGAGCAGACACACCTGGTACATAAGGGTGGCAAGTTGTTGGGCTAGATGATGGGTTTGTGCACAGGGGGAGGGGGCAATGAGGTCTTTTGTCTCTTTTGTCTAGTCTGGTTCATGATGAGAGCATGGCTCCATTGCAAGGGGCCTCATCCAGATGACTTCTAATCACAGGACTTAGTTTTTGCCCAAGTGGGTTGAACACAGCTCTGGTGTGCTCTCTCTCCCAAGCCAACAGGAACAGGAAGTGGAGTCTGCTTTGCGCAGAAAGTATACCCTCATAGACAAGAATGACTTTGCAGCCATTGCTGCTGTCCAGAAGGTAAGCATGGTTGCCTCTTGCTGACAACACTCCCTCAGATTTTCCATCCTCAGACCTTTGCAAAGGCAGTAGATATCATGCATTAAACCAGAGCTAGGATTGTAACAGATAAAGGCAATATCAGGTTAAGCATGGATGTTCATGGGATGACCTGTATAAGAATAAACCACTTTTGAATTGAAAATGATTTCCATAAATTGGAGACATGGTTAATAATAAGCAAGACCAATTCCTGTAGTTTGGTTGGAAATAACCCTTAAGATCCTCAGAGTATAGAATGAGGCACCAGACTGGTGATGGGGGTTGATGTGGAAAGCTGACATTTGGTAGGGTGGTCAGGGACAGCTCTGTTGGGGATAGCCTGAAGCTGGCATTAGCAGCAGCTAAACTTGGTATATGGGGTGAACATGCCTACCTTGAGCCTTGGGCCATATACACTTGGGTCCTCGAGGGGCCCAAAGCCTTACTCTAACTCACCAACCTTTGGTTGGCCTCTCTCTCTAGGCGGGGATTACAGATGTTGATGGCCACCTAGTGGGGGAGCCAGACGGACAAGGCTTTGGACTTGGGGTTGCCCCTTTCTCTTCCAAACCTGGGAAGAAAGCTAAGTCCAGGAAGACATTCAAAGATCAGGTCAGGTGAGTGACTTTGCTGCTCTACCTGCTCAGTACCTGGCCCTCTGTGGTGGGTGAATGGGAGGACATGAGCTGTTCCCATCTTCCCCCTTGTGTCTCAGCTACTTGTCACAATGGACTTCACTGCTGCCAATACTTGCAAATCTGTGGAGCCCAGGCTGGGGCTGGTTTGGAACCAGCCATAGTACAAAGGTCACCTCTCACCCTCACAGCAACCTCATGAGATGGGGGTTAATGTCTCCATTATACTGATGAGAAAACTCAAGCTCAAAAAGGGGAAGTCACTTCCGAAGGTCACACCACTAATGAGTAGGGTCACAGCAAGAAGCTGGACCAGCACTCCAGAGTTCATGCCTTCTGGTATTTCATGTGGTACCCTTCCTTCAACCTCACCAGGGTCCTTCTGCTGACTGGCACTCAGGTCACCTAAAACCCCAATTCACCTTTCTGGCAAGACTTATTTGCATATGCAAGGTGGGAAGAATGTTTAGGTTCACTTAAGAGCCCACCTTCCTTGAGAGGTGCTGTGTAGCAGTGGCCAAGAGCACAGGCTTTGGAGTTGATGCCTGGGCTCATCTCCTTTTTCTGTGCTTCTTATACCAAGGGGTCACCTTGTGTGAGGCTTGACAACCTCTCTGCACCTCTGTTTCTGTACCCCTAAAATAGGAAGAAAAATAATAGCATCAAAGTCAATAGGGTTGTCGTGAGGATAAGTGAGTGAATGCAGTCCCTGCACATGAGCCAAAGCTGATTGTAGGTAGCAGCAGCAGAAGAAAAGAAGAGGAAATGGTGGGAAGAGCCATGGGCATCCTCCTGTCATTTCAGTCCTGTTCAGATGTGTCTCTCCTGAAGGAAAGACACACTGAGCGCCGTCATTTGGAGAGGGAGGATGGCTACTTTTCTGGGAGCTGGTGTGGACCCTATGTATGGTGAGAACAGAGTGTGGACTGGTCAGAGAAGCAGAGCAGACCCGTCCTGCTTTATCATTGGTCCACAGACAGACCCACCCTGGATGGGGGCTCTACCTGTCCTTCCAGGGATGCCTGTGTACCTTATACCTCAGCAGCTGTAGTAGCTCCTGAGAGCCTGCAGCCCACCCTGCAGGTCCATACACTTTCAAGCCATGGATACCCATTCTTCCCAGGTGTCCCTTGCTGAGACTGCTGAGAGCTCCTTATTCTGATAAAAGGGAGAAAAATGCTTTCTTCTCCCTCCCTATCTGCATGGATTAGGGTCAGACTCCTTGCCCTATGACCTAGGTATATGAACAAGATAGGAGCTGAGGAGGGTGGAGCACCTAGTATAGTGAGGGGTGGGAAAGGTCACTCGCCTCAGCATCTGAGATACCTCACTGCCCATAACTGAGCCCTGGGGCTTCTCTGCCTTCTCCTTCCAGCTCCTTAACAAGAAAGGAAGGTGTTGGCAGCCCCGTGAGTGGCAAGGACCCGGACGTGATTTCCACTTCTAAGACCCAGCTCCTTCTGTCCTCCAAGGATGGGGATGTCAAAGAAGTGCTTCTGCGAGACTGGGAAACCTCCAGCATTGAGCCCCTTCCCTCAGACTCCCCAAAGGAGGAATTACGCCCACTTAGGTAACCATCTGTTTTTTTGGTTTTTTTTTAGGCAAGCATGAAAATGAGGTTTTTTGAGGACAAAAAGATAGGCTTATAGGGCAAGAGCAAGATATAGGTTTAAGAGCATGGTACCTATGACCGGACCCATTGTCGCAGCAAAGGGACAGCAAAAGGAAGGGTGCAAAAAGAGCGGTAACCATCTAATGTTAGTTCCTGCACCAGATCAACCAAAACCAGAGTGTGATGCTGAACATGTGAAGAGTGCCTGCAGATAGGAGAGAAATAAAATAGGGGGTAATGGTCACAGCTGGGAACACAGTCCCGAAAGAAGAAACATGATGACTTATACACATGCAAAATGATCCAACCTCAGAAGTCATCCACAAAGATACACAATTAAACGTAGAATCATTTTAGACCCTCCAGATAGCAATTATTTAAGTAATTAAAATCATATATCTTTTACATAAGTAACACATTCAAAAGCTATAAAATTCTCAAGGATGAAAGAATGCAACTCCCCTTTCCTCCAACCGCACAGTCCCCCTCCCTAGTGAGTCAGTAATTGAGTTTTTAAGAATCTATCCAAAAGAAATAGAGATGTGGACAAGGTTTGTACAAAAAGATGTTCATTGCATCATTAATTAAAAAAGCAAAAAAAAAATTTGTTTTGAAACACCTTCAATAGCCAACATTAGGGAAAGGGCACTAAGTGAATTATTATCTCTGCCTATGGATTGTGCAAGGATGTGCACGAACATTTCCAAACATTGAAAGAAGTTGAAAGAAGTGTGCAGTGAACATCTGCACACCGAGCACTCTCCAAATTCTGCTGTTAACCTGTTACTATACTTGGTTCATCATGTGAATATCCCTCTATCCTTCTATCTTATTTTTTTGGCCCATTCCAAAGTAAGTTGCTTACGTCAATTCACTTACCCGTGCCTCAACATTACGTCTTACATCTCATTAACTAGAGTTTTCAAGGAGTTTTTAATAGCATGAAAGGATGCTTCTGTGAAAAAAGTAAAATGTAAAATTATACAGAGCTGGGTGCAGTGATGTGTGTCTGTAGTCCAAGGTACTCTGGAGGCTAAGGCAGGAGGATCACTTGAGCCCAGGAGTTTGAGGCTGCAGTGAGCTAGGATCTCACCTGTGAATGGTCACTGCACTCCAGCCTGAGCAACATAGCGAGATCCCATCTCTAAAAATAAACAAACAAACAAACATACATACATACTGCATGGCCTCAACCATTCAAAAATATATGAAAGAAATCCAGAAGGTGATACATGAAAGTGTGGTTGAATGAAAGGAAGTGAATAGTTTTTGTTTTATTCTGTTTTCTGTTTCTTACACTTTTATTTGCTTTCCTCATTTTCTGCAGTGGGCATGTGCCCTTGTATGCTGCATAAGACAAAGATGAGGGAATGATTCCTAGACAGTTTAGCTCCTGTCTGAAGCAGGTGGTACCTAAGACTTCTGCCTCCTACCTGTAGAAGCCCCAGGGAAGAAAGATGAAGTGCCTGGTGGCTCCAAGGCCGCTGCCCCATTTCTCTCTCCTCCTTGGCTTCCTCCTCCATCTTCAGGCCCAGCACCCCACCCCCCAAGCCTGTGGCCTTTGAGGAGTTTAAGAATGAGCGAGGTAGTGAGATCAACCGCATTTTCAAAGAAAACAAATCCATTTTGAATGAACGGAGGAAAAAGGCCAGTGAGACCACACAGCGCATCAATGCCATCAAGCGGGAGATTGATGTGACCAAGGAGGCACTGAACTTCCAGAAGTCACTACGGGAGAAGCAAGGTAAATATGATGAGAAGATGGCCAGGGGGCTATGGGGTCTCAAAATCATCCTGCTCCAAGTGGGACTGAGGCACTAGAGGATTGAGATGGGAGGGGGCTAGCAGGGATTGCTGGAACGTAGCCTTCACTCCTAGCCATATCACTTGGCCATGGTCAGCCCTGCGGGGGCACAGAGTCCCTCCTTGTCAGCCAGCCTGTTGGTCCTTCATTATTGCATTATCTTAAACATAGGTGCTGGGCCTTTCACCCAACATGTGCTACAGTACCTGGACAAAGAGGCCCTTGGTCCTGCAGAGGTATCTCTGGGAAATAGGTAGTTGGTGACCTCTACAAGGTCCCTGGGTCCTGATGTGATCTTACCAGCCATGGTGGTCAGATTGGGATGGGGACTATGGGACTATGAGAAGACAAGGAAGGAAATGAGAATGTGGCTACCAGAGGGCCAAGGGACTCCATATCAATAAGACCCTTCCCCATGCTGAATCCCTGACGCTTGTGCCAGCCTGGCAGAGTCTCTTCTCCTAGGGCAGGGGGCATGGGGCAGGGGGCCCCAGGCTCAAAAAGCAGGGACCCTTGTATTGGTTACCCTGGCCTGGTGCCCTTGTCTCAATGGCATGCTGTGCCCAACACCTGTACTGTGGGCCAAGTACTTGAACATGCAGAGGACTCATCTGGGAGGGCAGATTTCCAGACCCGCAGCCAGTCATTCTGCCTCAGCAGGGCCCCGAACCTACATTTTAATTAGTGACCATCCCAACTCTTGAGGCAGGTGTTTCAGAGGCCACAGTGTTATTCATAATCCTGGCTCAGTCTCATTGTCTTTTTCCAGACAAGGCACAACACAGGTTACTACTGGGCTTTCCCTTGATAAATCATAACCCTATTTCAGACCAGCTTTCATGAGTGATCTCCAGATGTCACTTGGTTTATTCCTGCAGGTCAGATGGGTCATCTCACTCACAGGTGGTGCATTTTACTCATTTACTTCTCAGAGGGCAACTTTATTTTCAAATTCTTAGGACTATTCTGCTCATATCCTATAGACCAACCATGACATGCTATTCCAGAGGACAGAGCCCCCTACGGGTCTAGGAAACTGGCAAAGGCCAGTGATGGTTGCTTTAGACGTGCACCTACCCAGAACCTCCAGGGAGGGGATGTAGTGATTACAGGACCAATAAGCACTTCTTTGTCCCCTCTGCCCACATGTTCTTTGAACATACAGCCCTTATTACATATTTACGTATTTAAAATAAAATACATGCATGCTATGCTGGCATATCATTTACTTCTAAGTATACCTGAAAATGGATGTTTTCAAAGGATGAGATGAAGAATAAATAAACAATATTTTTAAAATATTTTAAATTTTATCTATCAGTATCAAAAAACCATTCCATTTTTGCTCTTTTCCTCCAAAAGCAGTTGTTTTCCCACTGGTTATTAAAATGCCAAATAAAATACCTTTATTTTGAGGGAAATGATCAAGTAAATTCATGTTTAAATATACCTGCTAGATACCTTATGATTGACAGCCACTTGTTGGCCTAGAAAGGCAGCATATATGGAACATTAGTCTTCTATAAAAGAAAAATGCAAAATTGCTGGGTCCAGTAGCACACCCCTAGTCCCAGCTATCCAGGAGGCTGAGGCAGGAGAATCACTTCAGCTTAGGAATTGGAATCCAGCCTGGGCAACATAGCCAGAGCCTGTCTCAAAAAAAAAAAAAAGAGAGAAAATGAAAGAAAAATGCAAAATACTTTAAGTTTTTTCTTGGAGATAATCGGAGATCCTCTAGGTAGAACATAAGATGTTCATCGTCACTTCCAGCCTCAACAGAGTACTGTGAAGACTCTACTCTGTAAAGGATTTCTGCTTATCAAAATAACCACATCAGGGATGCCCCACAGCACACAGACCACAGCAGAATGCTGCACATTAAAGATGGGAGACCTGGTGAGGGTGATGGTGGAACTCTCCCACCCCAGATCCCAGAACCCAGAGTCAAGACCCTTGCCTCTCCATTAATGACGTCAGTGACTTTTAAATGTGTCTTACTTTTCCCCAGTGAACATCAGAGGAAGTGCTAACACTTTCCTCCAGCACCTGGAGGCTGCCTTGTGCACCCCAGTCCCTCACCTCCGGTGACATGCAGAACTCACTTGCCCCATGCTTGGTAGGTGGGGTTGATGTGATGCCTTTGCTAAGCTTTCAGATGCTATGGGCAGTGGACAGCAGGATGAGTGTCTTTGCAGACCATATTATTTTGTCTTAACCCAACAACTCTCACCAAACTGACCTTAAAAGACTAATAGCACAACTGGCTAGGCAGAGTGGTTCACACCTGTAATCCTAGCACTCTGGGAAGCTGAGGTGGGAGGATTGCCTGAGATCAAAAGTTTGAGACCAGCCTGAGGAAGAGCGACACCCCGTCTGTACTAAAAATAGAAAAATCAGCCAGGTGCTGGTAGTCCCAGCTACTTGGGAGGCTGAGGCAGGAGCATGGCTTGAGCCCAAGAGTTGGAGGTTACAGTGAGCTATGATGACACCACTGCATTCCTGCTTGGATACCAGAGTGAGACTCTGTCTCAAAAAAAAAGAAAAAAAGAAAAGAGCAGGGCATGGTGGCTGATGCCTGTAATCCTAGCACTCTGGGAGGCTGAGGCGGGCGGATCGTTTGAGCTCAGGAGTTTGAGACCAGCTTGAGCAAGAGCGAGACCCCATCTCTAACTAAAAAAATAGAAAGAAATTAGATGGACAACTAAAAATATATATAGAAAAAATTACCTGGGCATGGTGGCACATGCCTGTAGTCCCAGCTACTCAGGAGGCTGAGGCAAGAGGATCACTTAAGCCCAGGAGTTTGAGGTTGCTATGAGCTAGGCTGGCGCCACAGCACTCTAGCCCAGGCAACACAGTGAGACTCTGTCTCAAAAAAAAAAAAAGAAAAGAGACCCTTTGAAATACAGATTTACATCATTGTTACTAGTAAGGAACCTTGCCTAAGGGCCTGGTGGTACTAGCCAATGATGGCAAGTTATGCATATAATTTACAAGAAAAATAAACATTTGTATAATAGGAGTGCTTACTAAATATCTTTGGCTAATAGAGTTTAAGATCAAAATAAGTGTGGGGCATGGGTCATCTCTACCCTTTCCTCTGCCACCGCTCCTGTTTGTCCTAAAATACCAATGTGACCCCACTGATCTGAGCTCTCCCTCCCTATGAGACATGCCCTGGCAGCCTGGCCTTCTTCTTCTTCTATTTTGTTTTTTTCTATTTTTCTACTTTTTGGTAGAAACAGGATCTTGCTATGTTGATCAAGTTGGTCTCAAACTCCTGGCCTCAAGTGATCCTTCCACCTCAGCCTCCCAAAGTGCTGGAATTACAGCCAGTGCGCCTGGCCCAGCCTGGCCTTCTTGTGTTTTGCCCATCTCCTTGCCACACCCTGGCCTTGCCTGTGGTCTCCAGTCTTTGTGATTTGCCAACACTGTTCTCTCCTTCTGGGATGCCTTCTTCCTCCACCCCAGGTAGATGCCTCCTCATTCCCTGACCTCCTCCATCACCTTGCAGGCGAGTATGAAAACAAGGGACTGATGATCATCGACGAGGAAGAATTCCTGCTGATTCTGAAGCTCAAAGACCTCAAGAAACAGTACCGCAGCGAGTACCAGGACCTGCGTGACCTCAGAGCTGAGATCCAGTACTGCCAGCACCTGGTGGATCAGTGTCGCCACCGTCTGCTCACGGGTGCGCCAGTTGGGAAGGTTGGCTGGCCACCTGAGGTCCAGGGGGCTCAGGGCAAGGCCACAGCTTGAGTTCTGGAAGCACCATCAGAGCTTCTCTCTGGTGGAGGCAGGGGCAGGGTAGGGGCTTCAGATGTGTAGTTTCCAGGACTGTGAGGGCCAGAGATGGAGATGGGTACAAGGTGAGACCCTAGAGCAGGAAGTGAACAGGTGGTGAGCTTTCAACAGGTACAAGACAGATGGGTGCACACGGCCTTTACCTGCTTCCTCACAGGGGCTCCCTCACACCTCACAGTTCTGTCTCCTCATCTGCTTGCAGAATTTGACATCTGGTACAATGAGTCCTTTGTCATCCCTGAGGACATGCAGGTGGCACTGAAGCCAGGCAGCAGCATCCGGCCAGGAATGGTGCCTGCCAGCAGGATTGTGTCTCTGGTGAGCAGCACAAGGGCAGGGGCATGGTGATGGTTGAGCATGGGGCAGTGGGCAGTGCCCCTTGTCCTCTGCTCCACACACATGGCAGTATGTGAGGTATTTCCAGCCTCTCCCACAGCTAGCCCAGGCAGGTGGGCAGGTACAGGTCTTTTCTCAGTTATTGGGGGATGGGGACACAAAACACCATGCTTGCTATGGCCGCCCTTTTGGGGTTGTTCATCTTGCCCCTGGGGTTGCTCACCCTGCTTATCAACTGCCAGGTGGCAGTTACAGGGTGGTGTCTGTGAGGATACTGACAGACATGGAGGCTGGAGGGTTGTGAGATGCCCTCGGTGGGGGTTTGCAAATGTAGCAAGATACTGCCTTGATGCCCACCACAGGCCCAGCCAGGGTGTAGCCTGACAATGCCATGCTAAAAGGACTGTGCTGGGGTGGGCCTCTCCCAGGGAGAAGATGACCAGGACAAATTCAGCCAGCTGCAGCAGATGATGCTGCCCGAGGGCCCTGATTCCATCTCCTTCTACAATGCCAAAGTTAAGACAGAACAGAAGGTAACTCAGGAAGTTCATGTTTCTAGGAGGGTGGGGGCCTCAGGGACCTCATTACTAGGAAACCCAAGATCACACTCCCTACTTTAGAGAGGTGGGGGAGGAATGGTGCCAGCCCAAGGAGATCCAGAGTGTCCCACACTCAGTGGGTGTCTTCTGCCAGCTCCAGACTAGGATTGGGCTGGACTGTAGAGAGGTCCCACAGTAGAGGGGACTATGGAGGGGACCTGACTGGTGAGTGCAAAGCCAGCCCAGGTATGGTTCACAGCCCAGGACATGGCCCAAGGATCCCCTGAGGCCACTGCCTATCAGGGGGGACCTCTCTAACCAGGGGCACCTTGCACAGGTGGCAGAGGATAGAGGACCACATGCAGCCGAGGCAGAGCTAGACATTGTATTAGCCATAGGTTGGGTCTGGTACTCTCCTCCCTGAGCAGGTTGGGCTGGAGCAGAGGTTCTTCACTCTGCCAAGGGCCAACCTGGAGCCAGAACACGGGGGGCTGTGTGCTGTGCACTCCTTCGTGCCCAGAAGCAGTACTTACACAGCAGGGGGCAGATGCACAAGGGGTAACTGCCCCAGTGAGCTCGTTCTTTTAAAAATATTTTCATAGTTATTTATTTACATTTTCATTAAGTGATACATTCAGGTGTTTTAAATATTAAAAAAAGCATGAAAGTATAAACACCCTGTCCCCCATCCATCAGTTCCCACCAATCCCCTCTGACAGGGAGCCCCTTTCACTTGTTTCTAGTATTCCCTTGCACATTGTCCTGCATCTTGCTTTTTCCGCTTAGCAGTACCTCCTGAAGATCATGCTGTGTCGACCTACAGGTGCTTCTGTGTTCTTTTTTTACAGGTGCATAGTAGTATTCCATTAAAATTTATTTAACTTATCTCATATTGATGGACATTTAGGAGTTTCTATTTCTTTACTATTACAAATATAGCTGTGATAATTAACCTTGTACAATGTGAATTCACACGTGTGAATATATCTGAAGGGCAGTTTTTTAGAAGTGAATTTCTTGGTCAAAACGATATTTGTATTTTTGATGTTTGCTGCCAGATCATCTGCCTGGAACTGAACCCATCTGCACCCCACAGCAGCCACAAAGCATATGGGATGCATATTCCCCACAACCTTGCCCACAAGATATATTATCCCATTTTTTGTGTTTTTCCAATCTGAAAGGTGAAAAATGGTCTTTCAGTGTAGCTTTAATTTGCATTTACCTTACTATAAGTGAAGTCGAGCTTCTTCCTATGTATACGAGGGATTTTAATTTTTTTCCTGTAAACTGTTCATATTTGTGCCCATTTTTCTATTGGTTTTGGGGTTTTTTTCTTATTAACTTATAGGAACTCTTTATATGTTAGGGAAATTAGCTCTTTATGAGTTGCAACTATTTTTTCCTGTTTGTCATTTGTCTTTTGGCTTTACTTGTGGTTTTTTGTAATTATTTTGATTTTTATGAAATTGAGTTTTCTTAGTCCAGTCAGGCTGCTAATAACAAAATACCTAAAATTGGGTAATTTATTGATCATAGTTCTGGAGGCTGGGAAGTCTAAAATCAAGGTGGCAGTAGAATTGGTATCTTGTGAGGGTTTGCTCTCTGCTTCAAAGATGGCATATTCTAGCTGTGCCCTCAACATGGTGGAAGGGCAAAAGGCTAAAAGCTCCCTCATGCCTCTTTTATAGGGGCACTTAATCCTACCCATGATGGCAGAGCCCTCATGACATAATCACCTCTCAAAGGCCCCATCTTCTAATATACTGTGGGAGTTAGATTTCAACATATGAATGGGAGACACCAATAGTCAGACCATAGCATGAGTTTATCAGTCTTACTGGTCTTTTCTTTCTTACTTTCTGGATTTTGTGTCATAATTAGAAAGCCCTTCCCCCAAATGGAGTTCACTCTTTACATTTAGGATTAAGTTGATGTCTTCACTGACTTGATGGCTGTGAGGAGCTGAAGCCCATTCAAAGAGGTTTGAATGAAAGGGGTTTGTTACATGGGTTCTGAGGTCCCATAGAACAGCACTTCTCACTCACCCTGTGCTATGCACACAGATCACTGGCGGTCTTGTTGGAGTGTAGATACTGATGGAGCAGTATCTAGGGTGAAGCCTGAGATTCTGCATTTCTATTATAATAAGCTCCTAGATAATATCCATGCTGCTAGTCCAGGACCACACTTTGAGTAGCACACTTTGAGACTCTTAGAACCTGTTATAGGAACAGAAAAAAAAAAAAAAAAAAGAACCTGCCCTTTAATAGGTTGAAGAAGTTTTCTATTCCTAGTTCACTGAGTGTTTTTTTTTTTTTTTTAATCATGAAGGGATATTGGAACTATTATCTTTTTGCCTCCCTTTTCTTTCTATTTTCTTGTTTAGGACTCTGATTAGATGTATTTTAGACTTTCTCATTCTGTCCTCTGTATCTATTAAAACTCTTGTTTCTTCCAGATCTTCATCTCTCTATGCTGTAATTTGGGTAACTTCTTTAGACTTCTGTTCCAGTGTATTAATACCCTCCTCAGCTGTGTCTAACTAGCTTTATATAAAAATTCTATTTGGTTCTCCTTCAAATATACTTGGTTATTTTTGATAAACTCTTATTTCATGCTCTTTTAAAAAAAAACAACTTTATTGAGATATAATTTACATACCATACAGTTCACCCATTTAAAGTGTACAACTCTGGTTTTTAGTATATTTACAAATACATGCAATCGTCACCACGGTGAATTTTAGAACATTTTATGCTCTGCTTTTTTTTGCTCCAAATATTTCAATGTTTATGTCTTAAGAACTAGGATATTCTTTTATATAATCATGATACCATAATCAAAATTAGGAAAATTAATAGTGATACAGTAATATTTAATCTAAAGCCCATATTCAACTTTTGATGATTGTCCTAATGATGTCCTTATAGCTATTCATCCCTCTTGCCCCAGTCCAGGATCCAGTCTAAGATCACATGTTACATTTAGTTGCTATATCTCCTTTAATATAGAACAATTCCTCGGTCTTTCCTTGTGTTTTATAATTTTTGAAGTATACATGCCAGTTTTAGTAGAATGCCTCTCAGTTGGGTATGTCTGATGTTTTCTTGTGATTTAAATGCAATTTATACATTTTTGGCAGGAATACCACAGAAATGATGTTATGTGTTTCTTGGTATATCATATTGGGAGGCACATGATATTGGTTTTTCTCATTATTGGTGAGGCTAATTTTTTTTTTTAAAGATAGTCTCACCCTTTCACCTAGGCTACAGTGCAGTGGCACAATCATAGCTCACTGTGGCCTGGAACTCCTGGGTGATTCTCCTGCCTCATTCTCCTAAGTAGCTAGGATTACAAGCTCATGCCATCATGCCCAGCTAATTTTTAAAGTTTTTTATGGAGACAGGGTCTCACTATTTTGCCCAGGCTGGTCTCGAACTCCTGAGCTCAAGCAATCCTCCCGCCTTGGCCTCCCAGAGTGCTAGGATTACAGGCGTGAGCCACCACGCCCGGCCTATGAGCCACCTGTTATAAATTATTTTAAACTTGCTTTAACTAGTATACGTTACTTTAAGATCATAGAAAATATCTTGAACCAAAATGATAGATTATAGAACCAAAATTATTTGCATGGTTACCACCATGAATTTCTCTCTTGATATCCCAGACAAACTTTGCCTTTTCTTTAGTTGTTTCAAAGTCTCAGATAAACATTTAAATTCTAAATCATTAAACAGAGGAATCTTATATTTCTACAGGTCAAAATTCTCTTCTCCCACCATTCCCCAATCTTAGGAGAACTTTCTGCACTGGTCATTTTTAATGTTTAAGACATGCCCATGCACAAACTTTTTATCCACATACTTGAACCATTCCATGCTCTTTTGATTCTATCTTATATTTACTTAAACTTTTCACATATGTTTTTATATAGGAAATATATAGGATCAGATTTTTCAAGGTAAAAATCTATTTCCTATTTTGCCAGGTCTCATGGTAGGGTGTGTGTGTGTGTAAAATCATGAGCTCATGTTTAAGCTCTAGGAGTCCTGAGCACATAAGTTGAAATTACTTTCCTTCTGAAAGGGTTTGCAGTTGCTTTTTGCAGTTAGTCCTGGGGCATTACCAACCCGGGATCATTTTAACCCCCTTCATGAATTCCAGCTTAATGTGGGAGCTTCAGGTTCAAGTCCCCTACCTTGTGGGGACTCCATGTTCCAAGCTAGTTTTAGCATTTGCTTACTGCCCACTGTTTCTGTTTCAGCCCACTTTTTTCACCTGCTTTCTAAGAGCATAGAAATGCATTACAAGGGTAGAATTTGCAAACATCTAGTTGATTGAAGTTGCAGAGGGAGGGCCCTCCAGAATATGTGGACCCCAGTTCCTCTGGAGACAGAATCCCCTTCTTTTCTTTTTGAACCTATTCCATGTCAGAAACTTTCAAGTATGCCCTTGAAACATACATGCCTCCTTTTAAACATGCCTGCCAGACCATTTTAAAATAGTTTTACATACTTTCTATAAGATGAAAGAATGAAAGGGCTTGAATGAATGTTATTTCTATGGGTCGGGTGTGGTGGCTCACACCTGTAATCCCAGCACTTTGGGTCGCCAAGGCAGGAGGATTGCTTGAGGCCAGGAGTTCAAGACTAGCCTGGGCAACATAGGAAGACCCCATCTCTACAAAAAAATGATTTTAAAAAATTAGCTGGGTGCAGTGGTGCACACCTGTAGTCTTAGCTACTTGGGAGGCTGAGGCGGGCAGATCTCTTGAGGCCAGGAGTTCAAGGCTGCAGTGACCTATGATTGTGTCACTGCACTCTAGCCTAGGTGACAGAGCAAGTCCCTGTCTCAAAAAAAAAAAGTTATTTTCCACAGAATTGGGGCTAGTCAGAAGGAATCTGTGTCCCAAAACTATGATGTTGACAGGAAGAATGATAGGGTGAATGTCAGTGGGCTGGATTCTGAGTCCCTGTTAAGTCGACAGTTCCTAATCAATTCCTGTTTTCTCTCCTTTTATGTGTCCAGCACAATTACTTGAAAACCATGATTGGCCTCCAGCAGACACATAGAAAATAGAGTCTCATCACCAGTACCTTAAAGGATGAAACCAGCAACTCCAACCTGCTCTAGCAGAACTGCTAAACCACCTACCCAGAGTTCCAGCCACTCTGCTCCAAGGCTGGGACCCAGCCCAGACAGCACATAATGGCCTGCCTGCTAGGAGGAACATCCTCCAAAGGACAGCCTTGGTCATTGCCACAAAACACTTTTGATTTTAATTCACTGTCTTATATACAGGGATAAAATAACTTTTTAGTTTGGATGTTAGTGCTCATCTAAGAACTTTGTTTTACTTCCTACCTGAAAGGATGTCTTCCCTATGTACAAGTGGGGTCAGGACTGAGTTTTAAGTAGGAAAGGAAAATGTAGCGCAGCCAGGTGCTTCCTGGCAGGCCTTTGTCCCCTTGGTTACCTCTTTCCTTTCTTAGGTGGACATCTGGGGGTGAGCTTGGTCTGATGCGCCCTGCTTCTCTCAGTTCCCTCAGACCCTAAGTTCTCTCAGGACATCCTTTCTGTGTTCCTGAGCCAGTGAAGACAGGAGGAGGACCTACTTCCTTGGCAACCAGGAGATGATCGGGTCTAGCCGCTGACTCCAGAAAGGGATGAGGCAGAGCTGGGCCTATGTGCCAGGGAATGAGTGAGCAGCTTCTGGGGGACATGCCCTTTGTTTGTTCCCAGAATACCACAGCCTTCCCTATCTAGTATGTATGTGGGCTGTGTGTCAAGGTTTCTCCCCCTCACCTCCTCTTTTCTCTCTTTCTCAATGTGTAGGCCACAGATAAGCAGAAGTAAAAGTGGCCAGTTTAGCCTGGATAGGAACAGAGATCACACTGTCAGGATTATATAGGGAACAGAAAACATTAGTTCTCAGCCTGGGCCTTGTGCCCTTGGTGGGGATATTAAAGAAAAAGAGTTCACTGCTTTGCTCAGAGAACAAGCTCAGGCCCTCTGAGGCCTCCCGGGCTGATTGATGTGCCCCTGGGTTGGAAAACCCAGTCGCCACTGAATAAAAAATTTCAGCGCTTCCTTGGAATCTTTCCTCTCACACCCACTTCTGTTTTTGTGGGTAAGGGCCTTGGCCTTGTAGTCTGTGAGTGCTCCCTCCATCTGAAACCCATCAATCCCTTGGTGTTGCTGTGATTGGGTGAACAGTAGGGAGGGGGTTCTGATCACCTGGCAGCCCTGTCATTGGAAGTTATAAGAGAAAAAAATTCAGATCACATCTGGTGGGTGATATCCAGTTCTGGGACCACTTTATATGAGGAAAGATGGAAGGAACCAGGTCATCTTACCTGAAGAGGAAGAGAAATGTGCCCAAATGGAAGGAAAAGCAAGAGGATTTGGCTTGTATGGTCCCAAAATGAAGGCAAGATGAGTAGGAGTAAACATTTTTCCAAAAGGTGGAAATGGCCGAAAGACAGATTGTTATCTCAAAATAAGAAGAGGCTTAAAATAAGAGCAGTCCTGGCATGAAGTTAGTAGTGAGAGCCCCACAGCAGTAAGCTGTCGGGTAAGGAGGTTGCACCCAGTAGAAGGTTGAACAGGATGGTGTCCATCCAATCAAAGACTCCATGATTCTCTTTTTCAGCCCATCAGCAGACAGATGTGGATTTTGTTGACGAGAGAAAACAGGATTTCCTTGAGGTTTTTGCCCTCTCCCCTTGCCAGCCCCTTTCTCTTTCACTGACTGATATACTGTTGTCCTGAAACAGCTCTCAGAGACTCTTTACAGAGGCCTTAGGCAGAGGGTTCTGACTCTTTCCCTTCTTGGCTGTCCCTAACCTTATGAGGACTTGTTTGGCGTTCAAACAGGGAGTACATCTTCTTGTTGGGGCCACAGGAAACAGCCGATTGTGGTATCACCAGACCCTCTTCCCTTCAGTTCCTGTTGCTGGCTGAAATGGCATGGCCCTGCTGGACGTCCTACCCACAGGAGTTCTCACCCAGTCCTGGAGTCTGTTAGCCAAGACAAACTGAGCCTCTGTAATGGCACTTGGTCCTGGATGCAGTTGCATTTGTCTCTAGTTCATTTGTCATCACACAGGCCTCTTTGGTCAGTTCTGGCACAAACTGAAGTAAATCATCAGGGTAGACGGAGCCACAGGGATAAAGCAGGACAGTATTCAGGAGATCACGCTCCACTCAGACTCCTCACAGGAGCGCATGCTTCTAACATGATAGGAAGGTAGGGGGCATGGCATTCACTCAAATGAGCCTGTCATTCCAGAAAATAATTCCAGCTCAGTTAATCTGACCATCCATATCACCCCTGAAGGGACTTCCAATTCCAAAAATGTGACAGATGAGATAACCTGAAAACATTCCTACTACAAAAAGAGATACTGGCTAAAGTGTAGCATTCTTTTAAATACGGTTGACCCTTGAACAACATGGGTTTGAATTGTGTGGGTTCACATATACTGTGGATTTTTTTCAACCAAATGAGCATCGAAAATACAGTATTAGTGGGGTGCAAAACTTGTGTATAAGGAGGGTTGACTTTTCCTATAAGTGAGTTCTGCAGGGCCGACAGCGGGACCTTATGCATGGATTTTGGTATACATGAGGGCTCCTGTAACCAATCCCCCAATATACTGAGGGACAACTGTACAAAGCTAAATTTGTAGGAAAGGGAACTGCCAGGAGCTGGAGACAAAGGGAGAACTGAAACCAGGGTAGTCAGCATGTGAACTGGCTGTGGTTGCTAGGGACCAGGAGAAGGTGTGTGAGTGGATTGTTGCTCAAGTGTTTTTTTGTTTCGTTTTGTCTTTTTGGAGGCAGAGTCTCCCTCTGTCACCCCGCCCTAGGTAAAGTACAGTGGCATCATCATAACTTACTGAAACGTCAAACTCCCGAGCTCAATCAGTTCTCCTGTTTCAGCATCCTGAGTAGCTGGGACTACAGGTGTGCACTACCACACCTGGCTAATTTTTTCTATGTTTGGTAGAAACAGGGTCTTGCTTTTGCTCAGGCTGGTCTTGAACTCCTGACCTCAAGTGATCCTCCTGCCTTGGCCTCCCAGAGTGCTAGCATTACAGGCGTGAGCAACCACACCCTGCCTGCTCTTGAGTGTTAATGTCCACACAAGTACGAGAAATGAAACTTTGGCCCATGCCAGATAGGAAGTTGGAAATGGGACTCCCTGCATAAAAGTGGCCTGAACCCTTTATCCTTGAAGGCCCTGAAACCTTCATCCTTGGTGAAGAGGTCAGCTAGAAAAAGTTCCCCCACTGGCATGGAGAAATAACAAGGAAACTTTCCCCAGGGTTGAGGGGGAACAGGTTCCATGAGAATTTGCTACCATGTACAGATTTGGTATTCAAATTTACACTATGTGGTTCAGGAACCACCTGGCTGAGCAATTAGCATAAAAATTAGCCCCAGGCTGGTGATAACCCTGAAACACTTAGTAAAATCAAATTTTAAAATCTGTACATGCTCTTTACCCAGTCATACAGCATCCCCACATACAAAGCCCTAGTAAACATGAGCTCCAAAAATTAAATACATACACACCCAGAAACAACCTACTATAGTTGGAGGCACAATGAAAACAGATCATACTTATAAGAACTTAAATTATTTGGATGAATGTATGTATATATGCTTATACATACATATATAACATATGTTATAAATAATTAAAGACAGAAGTAATCAAAAAATGAGAAAGACTATTAAAATAGACTGCAGTTTTTTGTTTTGTTTTGGGGAGAGACAGGGTCTTGTTATGTTGTCCAGGCTGGTCTTGAACTTCTGGCCTCAAGTGATCTTCTCATCTTGGCCACACAAACTGCTGGTATTATAGGCATAAGCCACGACACCTGGCCACATTGCATATTTTTTAAAAAGCAGAACTTCTAGGAATGAAAAAAAAGTCCTAAAATTAAAATGACAGACTAGGAACAGTGAAAGAGAGAATGACCTGGAAACTGGATCTGAGGGAACTGCCTAGAATGTAGCATAGAGGGATGAAGAGATGGAGAATTGAAAGTGTGGATAAGAGCTGTGCTGGACAGAATGAGAGGATCCAATATGCATGTAATCACAGATCCAGAAAGAGATAATAGAGATATCACTCTCTTGGTGATCTCATTCAATGATGGCTTTAAACATCCTCTAAACACCAACACCCAATTTTATATATCCAGCCTAGACGACACTCCTGAGCTCCAAACCTGTATGGTTAACTGCTAAGTTGACATCTCCACTTGAGTATCTAGTGTACATCCACAAATCAACATGTTCAAAACTGAATGCCTAATTGTATCCCTAAACATGCTTTACCCATAGCCTCCCTTATCTCAGCCCAATTGATCAGGCTAAAACCTTTAGTTTTGTAATTCACTCGTCTCTTTCTCTCACATCCACAGTGAATCTGTTAAGAAATTCAGTAGGCCTTATCTTCCTACTATATTCAAAATCTGACCACTTCTCATGACTTCTACTGCCCCTACTCTTATCTAAGCCACTATCATCTCTTGCCTGGATATTGCAACAGCTTCCTGTCTCCCACCTTCGTCCTTTGCTCTCTTGTAGTCTATTTCCAGAATAGGAGCCTGCTGGATCCTTTTGAAATATGTTAGATCACGTCACATCTCTTTTCAAATTTTTAATGGCTCCCTTTTTCTCTCAGAGTAAAACCCAAGTCCTTAAAACAGCCCACAAGCCACCATGCCAGGCTAATTTTTCTATTTTTTTTAGAGAGGGGGTCTTGCTCTTGCTCAGGCTGGTCTCAAAATTCTGAGCTCAAGTGATCCTCCCGCCTCAGCATCCCAGAGTGCTAGGATTACAGGCGTGAGCTACCACACCTGGCCTTCTCTATGATCTTGACTCCTGTGATTTCTGTATTCTCATCTCCTCTACTCTCCCCCTTGCTCGCTCAACTCCAGCTACATGGGCTTCCTTATTCCTCCTCAAATGTACCAGGCATCTCCTGCTTTGGTATCTTTGCAATGGTGGTTCCCTCTGCCTAAAACATTCTTCCCCCACATGTCCACATAACTCACTCCCTCACTTCCTTCAAATCCTTGCTTAAATGTCACCTTATATATAGCAGGTGCTGTCATGCCACTATCCCTTGCACTTGCCATTCCTGCTAATGGCTTCCTACTGAAAGCATCTGCAACTTTCTACATAAAGGCCTTCTGTATGTAGGTGCTGCTTCAGGGTGGCCTCAGATGCTAGGGAATTAACACCTTTAGAAGCAACCTTAATTTTCCTTTGTCCTGTAACTTAACATAATCACAGGTTCCAGGTATT